AAAAAATATAATCTAATAACATGCAAAAAGTAGACAAATTCCCTTACCTCAAAATTTTTCTGGCTTTCTAACTCTGTGACAAGAGCCATTACAAATTCATCCAAGCTAGTCGTTAACTTTCTTATGGGAACAAAGCTTGTACTGTGAGTGAAATTGACACTTACCTGTTCAGAAGACAACGTTATACAATACATCATTTGGTAAATGAAAACCTTGACCTTTTATTGGTTATAGGTAATATATAATTAAATGTAAGAAAGAACTATTAACAAATCCTGAAAGAGAGGATCTCACAGGTGGGTGTGACAAGAGGGGTTTGATTTTCTATTTGATAGCTCTGTAACCAAAGAAAATTAAAGACTATATAAATATGGTTTGTTGGAGCAATGACAATTTTATAGTGAGTAATGTAGGTTTAATTTCGTACTTTTCCAAAGGGTGGTGGATAAAATAGAGACAAAATGCCTAGAGAAAATGTGTCACGTGTGTCACACTCTGGGTTTTTAAATATTGCCTTGTAGAATTTAGAACTTAAAACTTATATACAATGAATATATGGATTATTAGCTAAGATTTTATGCTATTCTAATTGGTATAATATAAAGTAGTTCAATAAAATTTTGAATTTAAGACACTAAAACCTTGTGTCATGGACAGTAAAGGCATGGTGATAAGGTTAAATGAAAGTCGTTTAGGGACATTCTATTGTAGTGAATTATATATTTTTTTTATTCTAAAATGCAGATTTGAAAGATACATTCATTTTTAGTTGAACAACTAATTTTGTGAAAAAAATTAGGCTTAGCTTAGTCTCTTCATGGATTGCTACTGTGCTATTGTTTACATAGTTCACACTGCACAATATGTCAGTGTATGAGAATCTGTTAATTTGTTCCTGCTTTGATGTATTGCTTTTCATGGATGAATGACTGCTTACATGGTACAAGCCAAGCAATAAAACCATAAAGTTAAATGAAAACAGATGTGCAAAGGTCAATAGCTGAAATAGTGAATACAATTAAACAGAAAATGTGGCACCAAATGATGCATTCAAAGAAGATGGGGTAAAGATATTATTTATTTCATTTTATAGTTTCAACTTCTTGCTGTAAATTGATGATTTCACTACAGTTAGTGTTAGGATAAGAGATTAAATACAATGTTTTAGCAACAAAAAACTGTTGATAATCATTTTGGAGGTTATAGAGGTTTTTAAAATAAAATAAGAAAATTGTAAGATGAAAAGAAATATTTTTATTCTTAGCATGAAAATAAACTTTCACTCAAAACTAGCTTAGTAAAGGCTTCATAAATTCACAGCCAAATCTTTAGTAAGACCAGTTTATTAAAAAGTTGGATTTTTTGTGTACACTTAGCATATTCAGTTACAGTATGGGTAGTTTCATGGTTACATGGTAGATACAAGGTCAGTAAAACTGATTAGATTTGACTGGTGTGTATTTAAAGGATTAAGAGACTTGGGTTTAGAATAACCCAAGTGTTAGAAACTAAATGGCTATAAGTATTCAGAAAAACATATCTACAGAAATAAATCATAGCAATGTGATACATAAGCATATAATACATTTTATACCCAATTTTATTAACATAAATAAAGCTGTCTTAGCTGAAAATGACTCCTATCCTGTCAAAATTTATATCTGTGTACCCTAGTCTTACCATTCTTATCAATAAATACAAAAAAGATAATGCATCAACACTACCAATACCCTTAATAATATTAAACACCTACATCCAATCCCATCAAATTCAGAAATTTATATTTATCCTCATATGACAGTCTTTCTATCCAAGGTATCATCCTATAAGTCCTCTTCTAAACCTTTTCCAACAATTTAATGTCCTTTCTAAGGTAAGGATCTCAAGACTAAATACAGTATTCTATATGTGACCAAACCAATGACATTATATCCTTTCTAAATTTATATTCTGTATTTCTGTAGATAAAACCTAAAATCCTATTTACCCTGTCAATAGCAACAGCAGACCCTGTAATGGCATCAGCAGGAATGTCGAGAGCTGGCATGTGCCCCTGGGGCAAACATCCTTGCCAGGCCCCCTTTCTCTCTCTCTTTTTTAACATTTTCAAGAATTTATTAAAAAGAAGATCCTAAATTAGGACAGCAACGAGCTCATAAACCAGTATAAGCATAAAAACGTTAATAAAGTAACAAATACATATTAATTATTACTCAAATTATTATATCAGTCATGCTTAATGTATCAAGCATCTATATGCAAAGAAAAGCCAAAAACTATGGTTTTTATCATTAAATGAAGATATAGCCTAAAGATGCTTTGCGGCTTTACAGCATAACCAGGTTTCATTCGCCCGGACTCCTGGGCTGCTCCATAAATACAAATTGTAAAAGAAAAAACAAAAGACACATACCTGTGTAATACAAGCAGTGAAGGATGAAAGTGGAATCACCTGATACTCATGTGGAAGAGGGAACTAGAAGCTAAAGCAGGTATAGAAACAACATTGGAGAAACATGTTGAAAGATTGGGTAAGCTCAACAAAAGTAACAGAAGCAACAGATTGGTAGTCTTGGTTCTGGGAACAAAATGTAACCAACTCACTAATGCAGAATAACCATCAGAGTGTTTCCAGTCACCATAGAGTACTGAGTGACTCCTTTTAAGAAGTATCAGATCCTCCAGAGATGTTGGAAATGCAGAAAAATAAATTTGTAATCCAGTTGATTCACAAAACTAACTTTTTCTTTTGGTATAAAAGTTAGTCTGGTATGTCTATGCCTAGGTTGTTGGTGTAATGATGACAGTAATGAGCACAGAATAAAATCCTAATGCTGGATTAAAATAACAGTAAATAAACCTGCAATGAAACACTATCACAGACATTTGAACATGTTCCAAAATTACAAAGTTGATTAAAAGGAAAAATGAAGTTGAAGTTAATTTAAATCAAAGTTCTAATTGAAATTTTAAAATTTGGTACCATTTCTTCTCATAATACAGAAAATTAATAAAAGAAAGACAAATTGGTAATGAAATTTTTAAATAATTAGCATGAAAATACTGCAAAATATGAAAAAAGAACAGGTATGAATAAAGTACTGCTGAGGAAAGAACGAGCCTTTGTTCTAATGCTAGTGCTCACTGGAAGTACTGTGCATATTGGTGGAGGGTTATGATCTAATGAGATTACATAATAGGTTGGCACAGTACACATTAATATGTGTAGGGGTGGGAACATCATTTAAGGATTGTGATGTGTACAAACATCTTCGTGGCAGTGGAACAAGATAATAGTAATTTGTTGTGCAAAAAAGGTGAGTATACGTTTCTGCAATTATATTTCTGTACACAGCATCAATCCACTGGACCAACACCGTACTGCAGAAGTATTGTTTACTATGATTCCATATTTACTATAAATTTCTTTGTGATATCTGTCCTTTGGACACAAAAATCAAAATGTTTAATAAAGTACTTGTACTAGAGATTTATCTGTGAATTTCAGAAGCCATCTAAATGAAACGTGCTTTTCATGCTAAGAATGAAAATACTTCTCTTCATTCCCCAATTTTCATATTTAATTTGCATAAATTATAAAACCTCTTAAATAAATATCATAAGTTGTTTTCATTAAACTGTATTTCATACACATCTGATTTCATTTAGTTTTGTTGCTTTACAGCTATACTTAGACATTATCATATTACCCTACAAACATTTATCACAGTTTAAAAACCATTTATTGCAATGGGACAACTTTATGTAAACAAATGAATTAAAATCACATCAAGTTTTGTGTGCATGGTTGCCTTGATATATGATATCAAGTATCTCAAGAAATTTTATTTAATATTTTTTTTCATTTAGGATTTCTTATCTAATCTAATAAATTTCTAATTTTTACATTTTAGTTACTTTTATAACTATACATAGAAATACACATACAAAAACAAGAAATTTGGTACTTATATGTCTGAATTCAGGTCTTTTGCCATCAAGGACAAGGCATATTAGAATAAAAATATAAATCAGGATACAACAAACACAGTAATTATCAGAACACTACTTAAATATAAGTCTTTTGTTACAACAACAAACAGCCTGAAGAGTTCTGGATTGGGTGAAACACGTCATCGGCAATGGACATGGTGAATATATTGTGGTTTAATTAAAATTATTATACATTCTTCTAATTCTTGAAAATCCCAAGGGACTATACAGTGTTTAAAAATTACAAGTATAATTAAACAAAGGGAAGTTGCATAAGCCATAAATTAACCATGTCAGTTTACTATATAAATTACTGTTTATGGTATAGTCCAGTGTCCAACTTATTCATATTTTCTGTGATAATGTACTATTCACATGATAAATTGTTCAGTTTGTTGTAATTATACACCATTCATGATCCCTGTGGGTGTATCACCAGTGCTCTCCATAATAATTTCCAATATTCCTACGATGAAAGGATTAGTATAAAGGATCATCAAAAACACCAAGTAAATTCCAAAACATATTCTCAAACATATTCCCAGAATCTCAAACATTTTCAAGTACTTGAATGTTATTTTTCAAAACCAAAAAGGATTCTTTACTTCTGAAGAAGAATAGATAACTATTTCGAAGTGCTTGGATTTCAGGGATATTTCAAAAATATTTCCAATACTGTATATACTTACATCTAGGTAATGTAAATGTTTCTTCTTCTTCATTTTTCACCAATTTGGTATCTAACAAAGCATCATGTTCTTCATCAGAAATGGGTTCAACCTTCACCTTTAATTCTTCCATGGTTACATCACAGTATCACTTTTATATTCTTCTCAGAGTTTATAGTTAAACTATGGAGAAACAAGTTAAGAATAAGAACTTCCATCACAAAAAAAGATATTCCAAAGTCTACACCAAAAACAAGTCTCAAATTTCACACCATCTTCACCACTTTCATATAAGTTACTTGAAAATGTATTTATGAGAAGTACTTAACTCTAAGAATTGATAAAAAAAGTTTTGCTACAGCACACCAGTCTTTATACCCCATCACTTTTGCACCATTTCCGAACATGTGCTGATCATGTGACTACTCTCCACAAATTGTACTGTGCCACCTATACTGGCACAGCTATCTCCTTCTACTCTTCAAGAACAATCCTCACTTTTGAAAATTGGCAGGCACAAACCACAAACATCGGCATCTCAGTGGGTGCAGAAACCTTCAAACAGAACCCACAGATCTGTTGTGAAGTGTAGCCAAAAAGACACATAAGCTAAACATACTTAGAGAAATAACTCAATGCTAACAAAACCTCGAAATAATGAGCTTGCAAAACTATGAAATTCAACATAAAACAATAAGCAATGCTTAAAGTACAAAACCACAAAATGAACTTAGAAGATAAAATACACTTAATATCGAACTTATAAGTCCACTAAAAGAACTGATAAGACAAAGGACATAAAAGAAAAATCCATCCTGAAGAACATAAAAATGAAAAGGCACCCGATTAAAAATAACAAAATTTGACTCAAATCTAAACCCCAATTAGAAGCAACTAGTAGTAAAGAAAAAAGAACTTTACAAACTAACATAAACAATGAAAGGAAGTATAAATAACGAATCAACACATCCACAAAATTGGCCAAAGTTACAATTACCCAAACAGTAACTATCATGCAAAACCTGTACATGTACCAAAAATTAAACAAAAGCAAAGTATTAATCAAACTCCAAATGTAAATTTAAACTAAAGTAACTTAGATGGTAAAATAATTATAAAAATCTAACTTACCAAATACTGAGCAGAGAAGACATTAAAGACATAAATTATTGCAAGACGAAATTAGGTCAATCCACACAAGCTCACATAAAGTCGCTAAATATGGGTATACCTACTGGGAGTGAGGCATACACATTGAAAAACATACCATAGATCTCCCGGGAAAAGAATGATACCTAACACAGGAGATTATGTGGAGGTGCAGTAACAGGTTGAGAGTGCCATAGAATATCGTAGCTTGAAAGGAAGAAATCATCGGTAGAACGTAAGACATGAATTCCCAACGAACTAAAGCCTGTGCTTCCCCAGCAGATATAATCAACTCGTGTCAGAACCATTGTCAACAGTCATGGGAATTTCATCATCCACCATATTAAATCTCGAATTCATATGAATAAATTAGAAATAGGGAAAACAGAAATATTTCTGAATCAAACAATTAGAAATAATGGAAATCGAAACTTGAAGTTGAAACTGATATAACTTTATGAACCAGCACAATCAAAATTTTGGACTCACATGAAAAGCAAGTTAAAACACATGTTTATGCACTAGAATGCCAAACAAGAAAAAAGTGAGGATTATTCTAAAATAGCAGAGGGAGCTAGCTGCACCAGTAGAGATGGTGCAGTGTGATTGGTGGACAGTAGTCACATGATCACTACATGTTCTGAAATGGCACAAAACTGATAGGGTTTAAAGACTGGTGTGCTGTAGCAAAATTTTTTTACCAATGCTTAGAGGGCAGACCAGTATTGAGACAGCTTTGGGTGAGATGAGGTAGCACTATTTCGAAAATACATAAGTTTCATTTTCTTTACACCTTATTAGCTCACAACAAATAAAATCTCAAAATTCACAACATCTTGATAACTTTCAATTTTTTAGCTTTATAATAAAACTGCTCCAATTTTCTTTACTTGACACTGTTTAACTCAATTGGAAATATGACCAAGACAATCTTTGCAACAGATCTTACTATACAAGCATGTACATCATAACTGTTGAGTAGGGTTTAAACTTATTAGATACACCTTGAATACAAAACAACATTAAAGTATGGCAGTATTCTAACTACCAATATACTACATACTGTATCTGTTTTGACAGTTTTAAGTTTTGATCTTTCATTGATTTTAGCGAAAATAATATTAAAAAATAATTCAAGCGATACAATCATCATGTTGTAAGCTTCTCAAAATGTCAAATTTGGTTTAATTACACAATGTGTTTAAAGAAACACAGTTTAACAAAAACAATATAAATTAATTGTAGAGGTCAAAATGGGTTTTTGAAAACACAAGTACCTGTTGGGTTTTTAATTACCTAACCCAGGTCTCTTTACTACACATATCAATCATTAATTGAAAAAAACAAAAACAAAATAGTCAGTAAATGACACAGAGAATCTTGCAGCATGTAGCACATTCAATATTAATAAGTTTAATCTATTTCAGGTGTTTCTTATTATTATTTTATCACTTTAGTACTCAAAGAAACTACAAAAGTCCATAGATGTGAAGTTAGGAAACGCAAGTGTACTATAAATAGCATCTGAGTATGTACTGGGCACTCAAAATATTAATATTGTGATATATTTAATGCAAGTTATATATTTTCTTAATCATTACCTAAACAGGACCCACGTATTTTTCACAGCAAGCATCTGGTTCCAAATCTTCTTCTAGTGCCAGCCTGTTATAACCTTGATTATTGACTCACCATATAGATAACCTAGCTGCCACATGATAACAAAACAAATTCTACAAAATTTTATCAAATCATAAACAAACACACAAGGTAAATACCAATATATATATATATATATATATATATATATATCAGACATGATACACAATGTTATAAACTGTCACATTCTTTAATCATGTTTATAAACATAACTGTTTTGTGTTAAACTGAAGATGTATCTGACTTCTTTGGTCTCGAGTAATTTACCATGTTTATTAGGCATAAAAGAAACAGACATTAATAGTTATCAAGTACATACACATAATTTCTTACAAGATTGTGTTTAGTACAGATAATCTTGCTAATTTCTCCATATTTCAGTAGGCTTAAAAGTACATAAAACTTTGTGAAAGGAAAGAAGAAAAGAATTAGATATCCACGAAATAATTTTCTAAATACATATATATACAACAATTCAATATTTAAAAGTGCTTATGACATTAACCATAGAATAAATATTGGTGAGGCGTCACAACTGTTTTCATATAATGTGCTCAACCTCTATAATTCACAAGATCTTGGCTGTACCACAGTTTCCAGTTAATCAGTATCAAAACATCTTGTTTTCACTGTACCATGATTTTCTGTGGATCAGTATCACACATCATACTTTCATAGTACCATGGTTTCAGCTGCTCAATATCAAAACTTTATATTTTCATAGAACCACATTTTCTAGTTGCTCAGTATCAAAATATGTTTTCATAATACCACAGTTGTAGTTTTACTTTATTATTCCTAATAATACAAGTAATTAAACTGATGTGCTGAAAACCTACAGTGTTTATCTACTTCAACTTGTATATACACAATTTACAAACAACAGTTAGTTCTATTATTAATATTCTAAATAAACTACAATTTAGACTGCTAAATATGCAGTTTCACTTGCAAATTTCTGTGTGTGCATAATGCATACCAATACTTCAATCATGTTAGTTTCAACTCAAATTAAACATTTTGTCATTTCTTACTGATATGGAAGGCTGACACTATGTCTATGCACACCAGACTTTTTTTTGCTGATTTTTCGAAATGGTTGAATAAATTTAATCATAACAGCTTGTGTTGAAATATCACAGTTATAAGCAACTTTCTGTGTTTTAATTATTCAAAGTTACACACTCGTACCATTTAATTAATATAAATTAGACAAATATTATACATACAAATTGATACAATTACAAACAATGTGCAAATTCTAACAAAATGTCTAAAAGTAAATGCTGTCCAATGGTGATTTTTGACAGGTTAAGTTATGCCACAGTGTACGTATCTTAAAATATAAGATATAAATTATAATAACTTAATTATTAGACTACACACGAAGCTGTGTTATTACGAAAATGTTCAGTAATTAACAATCTTCTGAAACGTTTTTACTTTAGTGTTTCTACTTCAAAATATGGGTTTCCCAATTCACCCTTGACACCGACTTCTACTACTATTAGTATTACTGATACTAGTCATAGTCCTAACCCATGTTAAGAAAACTGACAACGGACTTCTAGTTCCAAGCCTAACAAAAGTCAACTTCAAATACAGTAATTTTTAGTATCCTATTAACTCATTTCTTTAAAATAACGATAAATGCTAACATTTCTCCATGATACTCACCTAATCCTGAAATAGTGCAGTTCTCACACATTTTGAAAAAAAAACAAAAAGACGACCACTTAATCTTGGTTTCCAAGTTCCAGAAACTATTTACTTAACACAAAACATTACACCACTGATGTGACAACAGTGGACGTATGACATTTTGCCGCTTAGCAAACACAAACTTAAAATTTATTACTTTAGAAATTACTAACAACTACTATTACAAAATACATTTAGCTTGAACCAGATGTCGCTATACTGCACTGCTGACAGAAAATATGGATGTTTATTACGATGTTATGTTTATGGTGGGTCACATGATCAAGTGTAATCGAACATCGGATATAAGTCAAACTCAGTAATGGCGGTGTGTGATTTTATTTCAGATTTTAGGCCTGTTAGTTTCCAATACTTCAACAACTTTCGGTGTTTAATTCGTAACGTTTAATGTTCTATAGTGCATAAATGAACGAAGTTTCACAATACTTTTTGTCTCACATCATTCAGCCCAAATGATGAGTTCTGGTATTGTACAAAAGGCTTCTTCGACAGCAAGTTGTGGGAAGAAAAATCACAAATCTGAATGATTTATTTGTTTTGAATTTCAC